AATATTAGTTGCCAAGGAATTGCCAAGGAAACAAATCAATTTTCAAAAGCTTGATTTTTTATTGGCAGCCAACAAAAAACCAAGGGTTTAAAAATTGATTTTTTAATTATTAATTAAAATTTATTTTAAAAAAAATATTTTTCAAAAATATATATTTAAAAAATTTTTTTTTTTAAATTAATAGAACATATTAATTAAATTTTTTACCTCTGGTAAAACAAAGGTGAAAGACTGATAAAAATTCCCTCACCGTATCTCACAGTGGAGGGATGACTGTGAATGACTTTGCGAGAGAGGAGCAGGTACTTATAGAGCCAGTGAAACAGGTCACAAGCGAGAAGAAACACTGGCATGCACTCTGGCGGCGCTTGTCGGAACTGTTTTCTGGCGCGCATGCATATCCTGACATTATCGACACAGCGCATGGCAACAAACGTTGCGCCACTTCCGACAAGCGCCGCCAGAGTGCATACTAGTGATTTCTTCTCGCTTGTGACCTGTTTCACTGGCTCTATAAGTACCTGCTCCTCTCTCGCAAAGACATTCACAGTCATCCCTCCACTGTAAGATACGGTAAGGGAATTTTTATCAGTCTTTCACCTTTGTTTTACCAGAGGTGAAAAATTTAATTAATATGTTCTATTAATTAAAAAAAATATTTTTTTAAAAAATATATTTATTAAAAATATATTTTTTTTAAATATATTTTTTAAAAATAAATTTAAATTAATAATTAAAAAAATTAGTTTTTAATAATTGGCAGTAGCGTGATCATCCCAAGCTAAAACCAATGGTGGTCCAATAATGGTTGCCATTCATGTTCCAATAATGGAACGGAGTTCGCCAAGCATGGCCCATTATTGAACCAACCGTTTACTTCCCATTGGGTACAGAAAAACTGCACGAGGGGAAAAAATTAAAACTATGATTTTCTTACTCAAAAAACACCTAATATTCGAAAAAAAATGTTTTGTTCGATTGACAATTTCACTGTGAACCAGTGTTACGAATCCGAGGTTAGTTTTAAAAAATTCAAAATAGCGGATCCAATATGGCGGACATAAAAATAAAAAGTCGTTTAATTGAACTGAAACTCGGTACTCGGAGGTTCTTGGGGTCGCTGATTACGAAAAATTTTAAAAAAGGTCATTTTTAAAAATTTCGAAATGTCGGTGCCAATATTGCTGATATTGTTAATCGTTCTTAGCGTTACCCGGAACTGGCGACGAGGACGTGACGAGATTTTAGTTCTATTTTTTTGTTTTTATTTTTTTTCGTTTTTTATTTTTTTTGCTTTTTTTGTAGTCTCTTTTTGATGGCACATATTAAAACTAAGAAGGACCTCTTAGTCAACTATTTATATGAAATTCCAGAAAACATTTTCTCTCTTCTGAAAGGCAGAGATACTCAGCCTTCAATGGCATTCAAAAATTTTTTTTCTAAAATCTTAGAAACGCAAAGAACGAGTAAGAATATCCGCGATATTGACTCAGACATTTTGAATTTTTTCAAAATGATTTGTAATCAGCGACCCCAGAAACCCCCGAGTATCGAGTTTCAGTCCAATTAAACGACTTTTTATTTTTTATGTCCGCCATATTGGATCCGCCATTTTGAATTTTTTTCAAAATGACCTCAGATTCGTAATCAGCGACCCGAAAACCCCCCAGTACTGAGTTTCGTCAAATTTAAATGAATGAATAAATGTATGCATCTAAGGGTTAATATATAGTCCTGTTTACTGTGATAGCGCCATATTCATCAAGCTTGTAAATGGAGTAAATACTTTCAAAGAAATTTGGAAAAATTAGAAGTTTCACCTCTTATCATGTACAAAAAGAACCCAAAGTTAAAGAATTGTAAATAAATTTGTATAAGCTAGAAAAAACTTTTAGTGATTTCCACGAAAAATGACATGTATTTTCCATTTAAAATTTCAGTCGACTAGAGGCACGTGTTAATATTGTTCGATTTGCTTCAAACTTTCAGGAAAAATTTTTTTTTATACCTTGATTAATTTTTTGGAGTGAGACCGAAGATTTGGAAACATCGCCCAAATAAGAACAACCCTAGTGTTTATTATTTAATAATAACAGTTAATGAACTGTTTAAATTTTTTTTAACTTGCAAGGGTTACAGAAGAAGGGAAGCATATGTTTTTTTCTTTGTTGAATCGTAAATTGTAGTAATTAACCTTTTTCTTCAATTTCGTAGGTGGGGACAAGATGGGGTAGGGGAGAGTGGGGCAAGACAGGGTACAAAAATTAAGCAAAAGAAAAGAGAAATAAGAGGAGTTAAGAAAACTATACTTAAATCAAGACTGAATTAAAGAAGAGTGATCAAAAAGAAAAAAGCTTGTCAGGTTAACTCATGAATTAGCGATGGTAAAGTGGTAAATACACTTTCCCTAGTAGAAATTTGTCCTAGTTATTATAAAGGAACTGTCCAGTCGCGCTTGAAATTGTCTAGTTACTTTACTAGCCAACTGGCTAATAACTGGAATGGAGTGTCACGCTTTTTTCATCAAGTTATTATCTAGCCCAACTTTATAAATTCTTGTCAACGGTTCTGTAGAAAAACTAGACAAACTAATTCTTTTAAAATACTGAAAATTTATTTAATATTAAGATTTACTGTAGTTAACACATTTATTTCATGCAATTAATATAAAATTTCTATTTAGCACCAAAGAAATTCAATAAAAAATATTTTTAAAAAATTTCTGCATCCATTATAATATATACATAATAAATGGAATAGAATAAAAAATTATATAATATTTTATAATTTTTAATTAATTAGTTGAATTATTATATAAAAATAATGTAAATAGTAAATTATTACATGTAATTTTCTACATTACTTTTTGATTTTTAATTCATTTAAAAAAATTCTAAATTCGAATATCCTAAATATTTACTGTTTTCAAACAACTTTCATTTTTTTTGATGCACTATTATTAACAATAACACTGAAACAAATATTTTCTATTAGTATAAACAATTATAATCTGTATAAACCTTTAAACGATAACGCAATTTCACCGAAAAAATCTTGGTGGGTAACGGGGAGCGAACCCGGGTCCCGCTGGACTGAAGTCGCACCGCTTAACGCAAAAGACGAGAGGTTCTACCAGGGACTGACTTGGTCGGAGGAAGCACGAAAGGACCGAAGACTGAGACGTGATCGTTTTAATGCAGTAGTGCTTAAAAACGTTGTCTTGGAGGCTCACAAGCGGAAAAGAAGTGATCCTGAGGTTACGAAGGTCCCAAAAAAGAAAAAGCAGGAGGGACCTCCCAAAAGGTCCAAAGGAAAGGAGACCAAACCGGCACCAAAGCCAAATCCAGACAAGAAGGGAAGAGCCACAGTGGTCGTCAAAGTGTCTGAAGGAGCTACCTTCGCTGAAGTGCTGGCGAAGGTTCGAAGGGAGGCTGACCTGGAGGCCAGCCAGACAAGAGTTGTGGGAGCTTTACCCACTAAAAAGGGAGACCTTCTCATTAAAATTGAAGGGTCTTCAAACAAGAAGCTGTTCACCGAGGAGGTGACAAAGGTAATCGGCGATTTGGGTAAGGTGCAGATTGCGGTCCGGCAAACTACGTTGGAAATCCGCGATATGGACGCCCTTACTGAAAAGGAAGATGTTTTGAATGCCCTGAAGCAAATCTCTACGGTGCCAGCAGGGAGCAGAAAGGTGGCGGTCCTTGGCCCAAGCAATCGAGGAGTAAAGCTTGCTGTCGTTGTCACCAGCCAAGAGGATGCAGATAAGCTGGAGAAAATAGGACACATTAAAATTGGGTTCGTGTCCTGCCAGGTCAGAAGAAGAACTACGGTCACAAGGTGCCATAGGTGCCTTGGCTACGGCCACATAGGAAGAGATTGCAAAGCGGTAGACAGGTCGGCTGCGTGCTTCAAGTGCGGTGAAGCTGGCCATAAAGCAGCAGATTGTAAGAAGAGCTCCTGCTGCTTCTTATGCCAGGCGAAGTTCGGCGAGAAGGAGGACATACAACACGTCGCCGGATCAGGTCGGTGCAAGGTCTTCAGGACTGCCTTAGAGGAAGCTAAGAAGACCCTGTCAAGAACAAGGAGAAAATAATGGCCAGAACAAGAGCGGCACGGAAGAGTCGCGCCAGCGACTAAATGGGACCATCCATCTGCGAAGTCTGAAGCCGAAAGGTAGTTCCGTAGGTGGATAGAAGGTTCGAAACCCAGGGAAAACAAGAAGAGGTTTTAGTCGGTATTGTGACTGCCGTAAAAAGCAGGTATGTGAGGTTTCTTTTTTTTTCCTTGCATTTTGTGCGAGTCCGACATACCCCAGGTAAGTGGGATCTTCCTGGGCATGCGTTAATGCATTTCCTCTTCTCCCCCGTGAATAAAAAAAAAAAAAAAATGTAATAAAACATTTTAGATGATTTTGCAATTTTTTAGGAGTGGTCAATTTTTTCTTTCAAATAAATAAAAATCAAAAATACACTTATCTAGGGATCTAAACTAAAGCTTGGAATAGAAACCTCCGATTAATTTGCTTTCATAAAGAATTTTTTCGAAAAAAGCTTAGGCGGTCCACTCAAGGTGACATTACCCTATTTATAAAGATAATTGGGATTTTTTTTACATAGTTGAATTTTGTTATTTTTTTTTTTTGAAAATATGCAGTTGAATTTCTGCAATTATTTGTAATTTCTCCAAAATTGAATTTTTTTACTGTTTTCAACAAAAATTTAAATCAGAAAGTTTTCAAATTCTATTATTTTTAAAATTGCTAATTTTATTTAAAAAAGATAGTAAGAAGTTAGTCGCGCGCTTTGGCGCGTGAATTGTTGCTAGTTTATTATAATCCAAAAGCAAAAAGTCAGTCACTAATTAAAGTTATTAAACATTTTCACTAATTAAAATTTAGAGAGGAACTAGAAACTACGAACAGACATTTTTGTAATACAACGATTATTAAGTAAATTATCATTATTTAATTCTTTAATTGAGCAAATATTTAATTTAATTACCAGACTGTCCTTTATTTCGTGAATTTTCCTATCATTCGAAATACAATAAATTGTCGAATCATCAGATGAGAGTACAACTCCATTAATCGTGACTTCCTTAATAATGACTTCAGTAATTCTTGTTCCATTAAACATTTCCCATTCATAAACAGCGCCATCATTACCAATCGTTATCAATTTCGCATCCATTTTTGACCATGAAAAACCGGTAATAGTTCCCGTGTGTCCCTTCAATAGAAAACGTGAACGAAAATCCATTGTCGAATAGACGTGAACAATATTACCATTAACAGCCGCAAATAAATGACCACCGTGACTAAATGAAGCAATTTTACAATTTTTTATGGGAAATTCCCGAATAATCATCAGATCATCAATTAGAATTGTCATGAATCGAAGTTTATCGCTGAAACCAATGAGACAAAACAAACCATTCGGATGTAATGAAACAGTGAAAATATCCTCCATGTACTGTTTAATCATAATCAGATTTTCCGATTCGTAATCCCAGATTCGTACACTGCGATCGTGTTGCCCGCAGGTGATGAAAATCGATTTCCACGTACACATCGAAAGACCAATTATTGGTCCATGATGTAAATTTTCGCCAATTGTTTCCAAATCGAGTGTTTCTATTTCGTTGGTGGTTGTTAATGATGGTAGCGAGGATTTTCCAGCGATTTTCGCCGAGAAGAGCTGTGACCAACCGGTTGTCACTATCACACGATCCGAACTAATATTCGAATTTATCGAAGTAATGCGATACAAATCTTGTGATTCGATTTTGGAAATTTGTCTCGGTACGTGGTAGATGATTTTCTTCACGTACCTATTCTGACCGTCTTGCTCGAAGACGATTAGTTTTCCATTACCAAAACCGTAGACGAAACAACTGCCAATAACGGTCAAACAAACAATGTCGATGTTCGATTCTTTGCGAACAATCTCCAAACTTGTACTCGATGTTTGTAGAACGAATTCCTCGCGGATCTTCAAATTCATCACTATTGTCTCGAGCATATTGAAGATGAATTTTAATTCGCCATTCTCGAGGAATAATAATCGAGCGTCCTTGGTGCCTGCGAGGAGTCTCTCGATATTGAGCCAGGCAATTGTGGTGATGAAGAGATTTTCGGCTTTGGCAAAACCATAGGGACGCCAAACTGTTTCGGAGACGGTGAGAAATTTAAACGTGTATGGACCGCCGAGTGCTACGATTCCCACATCACCGGGATTACATGACAATAGTGTTACAATTGATTCGGAACTCTGGGAATTTCCAACTTTAATGTTCGATTCGACTTTGCCCTTCTCCCAATTGTAGAATAACATCATTTGATCTGGTTCGCCTGTTATTGCTGCGATATTTTTACTATCGGCGGTAAATGAGATGCAGGAGAATTTTTTCACTCCTGGTGCATCGTACGGTATGCCAAGGGTTTTTTTTCTCTTGAGACTTTGAAGATCGTAAACTGAAATTGTTGGTTTTTCGTCGACATCACTTACTGCCACGTATTTTCTGTAATTTTTAATATTTCATTGCGTTATTAATTCAATTTTTTCGAATAGATTTAATTTTCTCAATTTAACCCGTTGACTGTCGCTGACGCATATATGCGCAAAACTAAGACTGGTAAAAGTGTTCATGACGCATATATGAAGCATTTTACGTAAAATGTCCCAAGTTAAAATTCCAACTTCTTGAAAAAAATTGAAACTAGGGGAATTTATTGTTCTATTAGGTAGAAATGTGACCCAACAAATTTTGTTGACTTTTTCGAAAACCGTCTAATATTTCAAATTTTTCTGTAAATACATGTAATGGGAAAAATTCTGTCTAATGTGTTTCTGGAAGGTTTTTTAATGCTCTTTTCAATGGTGAATTTTATTTTTTAATATTTTAAAAATTGACCCTAATTTTTGATAATTAATGTTTAATTTGCTATTTTCACAACAATCGGTTTATTTTATTTAAAAATAAATTATTGCAAACGAAAGCTAAGGTATTTTCCTTTTTTTGTTTTTGAGATATTAAATTTCTAAGAATACACGGAGAGACCCACATTCGTAAAAATTACTAAAAATGGTTGCAATGACCGGAAATAAGGGGACTTTTAGCATAATGTGCTACAGAATTAGATAAATTTACAAAAGAAATAGATAAATTTGCTACATTGAAATAGCAAGTTTTAATATTTTGTGTAAGAGTTGTAAATGTAGCAAAAATTGATTATAGTTTTCTCTAATTTAATTAGACAAAATCTGACAAATGAAAACATTTTCCACTAAAACCTACGATCCACTGTAGTAATTTTTGGTGAGCAAGTGTGGCTAGCGAGTGCAGTCATATGGCGCCTGCATTTCTATTGGTTGCTAACTTCGTCAATCTCCGTAAATGAGCCGATGCCATCCGATCATTGACAGTGACTATGTTTCGCGTATGTAAAATAAATTTGGATATTATCTACAATAATTAAATATAAAGTGAAACGTAGGTCGTTCGGTATCTCAGAAATTGACCATTATAAATTAATAAACTTTGCATTTATTCCTGTCCCAAGAACTATGTCTTATAATAAGTTGTTAAAAGTAAATTGCTTTCTCGTAAGTGCTGTAAATTTTCATCATTCAATATATAAGGAAACAAAGATGTATACTTTCAGTGAAATTCGTTGTCGTGCGTGCAGTTGTGTATTTGTGTATTAATTAACCGCGTCTATACATATAAGTGAAATAAACATGTGTGTGTCTTCAAATATTTATACAACAAATATATAAGTGTGTGTGTGTCTGTGTATGTAAAAATCCTTCCAGTTTGTCTCCATTAGTCAAGAATTGACGGGAAACCGGCGACAAAAATCCGTATTTTTTCTTTCACTCTTTCTTTCTGCATTTACAAACGACTGTAGTAATTTTACGTACACAATGCTTCTGAGTTTACTACAGTTATTTGGAACTATTGGACGAAATAGTAAGAAACTTTGCTAATTTGGTGAACATTTGTCGGGATTAGTGACTTAGTGTAGAAAATAGTAAAAAATACAAAAAGTCCCCTTATTTCCGGTGGTTGCAATGTGAAAATAGTAAATTCTAGTGTGATTTTATACAAAAATTAGTAATCTCGGTCTCTCCGTGTAGATTGCGAAAAAAATTAGTGTTAATTTTTAAAATATTAAAAAATAAAATTCACCAATTGAAAAGAGCATAAAAAACCCCAGTAGCACGTAATATTACAGCAATATTGAGAACACTGCCTTAACATTACCAATATTGCCTCAATGTTGTCAATGTTACTAAAACTTTACGTACTACTGGGGAACCCTATTCCAGAAATACATATTGGACATAATTTTTCCCATAACATGTACATGTACTAGGGTGGTTCTTATTTCGGCGATGATTCTAAATCATCGGTCTCACCTCAAGAAATTAATCAAGGTATAAAAAAAAATTTTTATGAAAGTTTGAAGCAAATCGAACAATATTAACACGTGCCTCTAGTCGACTGAAATTTTAAATGGAAAATACCATGGACATAAGAAATATACGGACAGGCCTCAAAGTCAAAATATGGGCGAGGGGGGTACGTTGGCAGATCGGAAGAGAAAACGCTACGTTGGTCGATTCCCTATTGGTAGACTTAATGCGCAGGCGCCAATTGCCATATAACACGTACATTTTCTTAACCAATTAGCAATTCGCCAACGCCTCCCCTTACGGACTGCAAAGTATCCCCCCGCATCTATATGCCATGTCCCTATATTTCTTACGTCCATGGAAAATACATGTAATTTTTCCTAGAAATCACACAAAATTTTTTCTAGCTTATACAAGTTTATTTAAAATTCTCTAACTTTGGGTGCTTTTAGTAAACTACAAGAGGTAAAACTTCCATTTATTCAAAAAAATTTTGAAAGTATTTGCTCCATTTACAAGCTCCATTTACAAGATGAATATGCCACTATCACAGTAAACAGGACTAGTACACTGTAAAAAAGGGAGTTAAATTTTAACTCCCCGGGGGTCTATAAAAGTCGCACCCATTGGGGAGTTAATGCCAGGGGAGTTAAATAAAGAGAGTTGAAATTTCACACCCAAATGCTAACTCCCCAAGGAAAAAATAACTCGCGCGGGTGTTGAATGAAGAGAGTTAGAAATTAACTCTCTTTTGGAGTTGATTTTTAACTCGAAAAATTTCACTCTCAACTCCCGAGTCCGTTAACTCCCTAAATTTTTTACAGTGTATATTAACCCTCAGATGCACAAATTTTTTTTTTCATTTAAATTTTACGAAACTCGGTACTCGGGGGGTTTTTCGGGACGCTGATTACGAGTCTGACAAGTAACCCAGGTAAAAATGATTCGTACGAAATTCGTACGCATTTCGTTCCAAAATCCGGCCAGATTCGTACATAATTCCTATCGAATTCGTATGAAATTACAAGCGAAATTCGTGTGGCGTTTTGAAACGTTTTTTCGCATGAATATTCGTGCAAATAATACCCGGATTTTTTTAAATGGATTTTCAAAAAATATTTTCGTTCGGAAATTCGTATGGAAATTCGCACGGAATAATTTTTGACAATTTCTTCAAAAATTTTTCGGTCAAATTTCCATACGAAATTCGTACGAAATTCGAGCGAATTACAAACGAATGTATTTTGAAAATTTTTTATAAAATTCTGCTCGGAAATTCGTATAGAATTCCGCACGAAATGTCAGCCAAAAATTTCTTCAAAAATTTTCGGCCAAATTTCCATATGAAATTTGTACAAAATTCGAGCGAATTACGAACGAATTTATTTTGGAAATTTTTTTTTAAATTCTGCTCGGAAATTCGTATAGAATTCCGCACAAAATGTCAGCCAAAAATTCCCTCAAAAATTTTCAGCGAAATTTCCATATGAAATTCGCACGAAATTCGAGCAAATACGAGCATACGAATTTCCGAGCAGAATTTTATAAAAATTTTCTAAAATAAATTTGTTCGTAATTCGCTCGAATTTCGTATGAAAATTTGGCCGAAAATTTTTGGCTGACATTTCGTGCGGAATTCCATACGAATTTCCGAGCAGAATTTTATAAAAATTTTTCACCGATTTTTTTAAAACTTGGTATACATATACTATGTCGAAAAATATTTGACACGTGTTTTTTTATATCGTCCCAATATGATATTTAAGGGTTGAAACTACCCTTTGAAATATTTTCATCCCTTATGTACAAATTAAATTATTAATGAAACAAATCAGCCAATTATAGTAAAAATTTGTATAAAATGGTTTTTCGGATCGCTGATTATAAATCTAAAGTAAGTTTTTCAAAATTCAAAATGGCGGATCCAATATGGCGGACGACATTTTGAAAATTTCATTAGATTCACTTAAAACTCGAAAAATTTTTATAAAATTCTGTTTTTGGGATCGCTGAGTACGAATCTGCAATTAGTTTTTCAAAATTCAAAATGGCGGATTGTTCAAATTTCATCGTAAAGGATATTTTATAACGATTCCATAACCGTTTGAAAATTTAGTGTCTCACAATTAGGAGCAAAGTTATTAATTTTTTTCTGCCGAGCGGCACGTTTGTTTACCGAGCAACACACTGTAGTATGAATATGCAACTTGCTGTTCAAAGAAGTGTACAACCCAGAGATTTTGACTAATAAACAAATTAACTTAACAAATGAATTGTTCATTTGTTTACAGTCGAAATGGCATCGTTTTTTTCTAATCGTTCTAAAATTAGGTATGTTACCAACAATATTTATGGACATTTTTCATAGTTTATTATTTGTTTATGATATAAACAAATAAAGTTAACTTAAAATGAACTCTTCACTTGATTAAAGGAAAAATGGCTTTAAAAAATGTCTATGAAAATATTATTGGTAACATAATTTTAAAACGTTTAGTAAAAAATTCCATTTTTCCTATAATCCACTCCAAAAACCCCTGAGTTACAAGTTTTAAGTGAATCTAATGAAATTTTCAAAATGTCGTTCGCCATATTGAATCCGCCATTTTTAATTTTGAAAAACTAACTGCAGATTCGTAATTAGCGACCCCAAAAACCCCTGAGTTTCGAGTGTTAAGTGAATCTAATGAAATTTTCAAATTGTCCGCTGATTTGTTTCATTAATAATTTAATTTGTCCATAAGGGATGTAAATATTTCAAAGGGTAGTTTCAACCCTTAAATATCATATTGGGCCGATATAAAAAAACACGTGTCAAGTATTTTTTGACATAGTATATGGGGCATACCAGGCCAAATCGGAAATTATTTTGCTTTTGCAGCTCAAATTTTTTTTATCATTTTTGCTTCCTCGTGAGGAAGCTTTGTAGTCGTTTAATTTACAAAATTTTTAAAAATCCTTTTAACAAATTTTCTTCTATATAGGACTATGTTATATAAGACCCTGAGCAATTGTCCTGATGTATGTATGGATGTGTGTATGTGTGTGTGGATCCCGATTTTTGTGAACACGATAACTCGAAGAGGTTTTAACGAATTTGGC